CAATAAAATACAATAAAATAAAAACGTACTTTCAGGTAACCAGCATTTTAAAAATATTTTCAAATATTTGCGGATGGTATCGCGGGGACGTGATCGTCGAACGATTTCAGATGATTTCGTACGTGATGCGAATCAACAAATTCTCGCGAGTCTGACTGGGAAGGAGATGGAGCCGCACGAATCGCAGCGATTTGCGTGATCGAGGCTAAAGTCGAGAACGACGGAAATGCAGTTTGTATAGCAGATTGCAGGTTCCACGCTGTTCCTTTCTCGTTAAAGTCAGAATTCGTATACCGCAGGCAGGGTTTCTTCTGTTTTATCGCGCGGTCGGAATGTAAACGAGCGGCGGAACGAAATATTGTTTATCGCAACGTCGAGATCCAGGCGTGTTATTAGAGTCGTTGCTTTTGTAATCGCAGAACGTTTTCGTTGTATAAATTCGGTTCGAAAGAGAGGGAGTTTCGTGTTTTGTAAATACAGAACGATAGTGTGACCAATGTGACTGAATGGAGTGCAAAGTTAAGTACAATTAAGGGTTGAAGCTTCGTCTGCTTCAAAGTAATCTAAATTAAATCGTTGGATTGTCGGAGATCACGAAAATTTCAGGTCGCTTAACTTTGAAATTAAGATGCAAATAGAATACAGCAGAAAATGAAAAAAGAAAAGTACACCAAATATTGAATCTCTATCACAGGAAATATAAAATTGAATAATCCGATCGCGCGAAAATATTGAATAGAAAACGAAATTAAATATTTCTAGTGATCGTAACGCGAACTTCTACAGCATGTTCCAATATCCCATATCACAATACCGCGTGAAATTGAATATTCTAAATTTCAAATAATCTTCCAAAATTTCAGCGATAAATATTAAAAAATATTAGACAAAACTTTCCCCCACCCCAAAAATTGTCGCTCGTATCTTTTTCTTGATTAAACAAGGAATCAAAGGAGTCAAAGAATATTACAGCATTATAATGGATTATTATTATTATTAGAGTAAGGGTAGAAAAGTTTTCTTCAAATTTCCCGAGCTCTTACGAAATTGAACTCAAACGCGGCGTTAATGACGCTGAAATGAAACGACGCCGAATAGAAAGTGGTATGAAAAATAGATTTTAGCGCATACAAGGAAAAGAAAACGCGACAGAGGCAGAGAGATCCGACAGTACGCATACGCGGAGACACGTTGTTATACCGGTTTATCGATTGTCGGTGCCGTGGCTAGAAACGAGGAGCAGGCTGAGGCCAAAGAAGAGCTAAAAAGGAGGAAATACCTCGTAATAGAACGGTTACACCTGTTACACTCCAGTAAATAGTTTAAAGCGTTCATTTATAAATCGCGTACTCTAACTTGCTTCCGCTACACGCTTACGGTCTTTTAAATCGCGCGACACTGATTAATTTCGTTGGAACAACTTTCACGCTAGATTTTTTTGATTTTTTGACTTTTTATTCAATATATAATGATAACAATATCGTTTCTCCTTTTTTTGCAACGATGATTAAGATTTTGTATATTATTCTAAATCACCAAAGATTTCTCGTTAATTTATGCTTATCATCAAGTGTATTATTTAGCTCGTTCTGTTACTGTTTTTGTCTTGTCACGTTTATAATTACAGGGTGAAGCAATGTAATGTAAAGTTAGAGGTAGTCAGCTGAGTTTAGTTACTTTTAGTCACTTAAAATTAGTTGTATTTGATATATATATTTATTTATTTATTTATTTCTGATTCTTGCTTGTACATAGTTACAATGTTGTCATTATTACAATTAGATTACAATTCCCTCTTTTGCCCAAAAGTATTGAACTAATATATATATATATATATATAGACATATTATATTAGTTCAATACTTTCGGCCAAAGAGGGAATATATGTAGCATTCTCCTTTAATATAATATGTCTATATATAGACATATTATATTAGTTCAATACTTTTGGGCAAAAGAGAGAATTGTAATCTAATTGTAACAATAACAACATTGTAACTATGTACAAAAAACCGGAAGTCATCCGAAGCTGAAACGCAAGGATCAGAAATAAATAAATATATTTCTAAATCAAACAAAGGTCGTCGATTGCGTTTCGAATCTTAAAAAAAAAGGGTATAATTTTCTAAAAAAAGGAAAAAAGACTTTTAATTCTGAAAAGGATTAAATGCAAAGGATAATTTTACGATTACGAATGGTGAAAAATTCTCTAAAACGAAGATTTTTGTTGCGATTCTACATATTTAATATAATCAAGCGACGGTCGTAAGAACAATTTAAATTTTTAACGCTGCAGATAATTTAGTGGGGGCACAAAGCAAGAACTCGAGAGCTTTGACGTCACACGGTTCTAGATCGAACGAAAAATTGTGGAAATCATTAAAATTTTTAATCGCACGAAAGGATAAACGCAGAGAGTAATTGTACGAATATACGGTCCGAGATTTTTAAATATTTTACATATTTTTGACTCGAACGAAAATCAAAGAAATTATTCAAATTTTTGATACTACGAACGACATAAATTTGTGCCGTCTGACTTTATATATCAGATCTTGAAAATTACTGACATGTTTGAATTCTACAAAAGAGATAGAACAATTCAATAAGCGTACACGGACGATAGAAAATTCGCCGAAACTGCGAACTACTTTCGTGATTTCGCATTTAGATTTCGTAATAAACTGATCGTTGATCGAACGAGAAAAATAAGAGAGTGTTGATTAATCAGCGAAATCGCGTGTGATTGAGTAATTGAAACAGTATCAACAGATATAACGCATGTCAGATATATATGGTAAACAGAAATCTACGCCGTGCGAGTCTGTTCCTTAAGCAAACGTTCAGCATTGCAAAATCGCTTAAAACACGCGTTGAAAGTGTATCGTTAAAAGAATAGGGGCATTTTCATGCAATTTTACTAATACAATTAACTAACTAACGAACATAATTACAAATGCAATTAAAACGTAGAATTTAAATAAAGATCTGTTTTCGCTCGCATGAAAATCACAATTCTATGCATTTTATATTCGCTTCGTGCATCCTCCATGCATCTCTCGAAATTTTACATAAACCATTTCTCGTAATTATTATACACGATTCTGAACGATAAAATTTGCATCTATACAACTTCATTCTAATCTGAGATTTGCCCGATTAAATTAACACAATGTATCTATTAAATTTGCAGATTTCTTCGCAAGGAAGCAGAAGGAAATGAAGGAAAGCCTCGTTGAAATTTTCGAGTGAATCGTGCTTCAAATTTTAGAGAACACCGACAGAGAGAATGTCGAAACGGCTCAACGAGTAATTACTATTAAGGAAGCGATTTTTCTCGCCGTGAGAAGTGGTGAGAAAAGAAAAGTTCCTCTAAAAAAAAATCACGCTCCCTCCGGTTATGGAATAATTATCAGCTCATCTTCCGCTCACTTTTCGCGAGATAATCGTGTAAATGAATTTTCACTTTAACTCTAGGTAGACTATGGCTTTAACGAAACCGTCTTGGTTAGATGCAATTGCTTTTTTTTTTTTTTCCACTGTAATATGAATAAAGCCGACATTGACGTTATGGTGCACAGATTTTCACGGTGCTGTTTCTGCCTACGGCTTCCTCTAATTACTCAGACGGTAGCATACGTTAGTCGCTTTTCTACGCTTTTCTAATGATCTGCGTGCACTTGTTCGTTGTTTCTTCGAAGTATCTCTTTTCAGCACCTATTTTATTAATTAATTTATTTATTTTATACTTTTGATATTAATACTTTTATTATTAATTTATTTGTTATTCCTTTATTTTTACTTTTAATATTATACTCTTATTATTAATTAATTTATTTATTTTATACTAATAATATTGAACAGAACAAGTTTTATAAAATATTTACATCGATCAATTTTAGTTGCTTCATTTTAAATTTACGAATCTAAAGGGCAAAATTTCCTTTCGATAAATCGGTGAAAAAGATTTTTCGTTTACGAATTGCAAGTAATAGAGAAGAGAGAAAAACTCTTTCTATTATCGATATAAATGCAATAAACTTCAAAATGGATTTTCCCGGAAATAAATACTAGATGATTGCATGGATTCGTTTACACAGGCAGGCCAACAGTGTATAATAAACATAACATTTATTACGTAAATTTACACGAGTCAGAAATAAAAATAATCAATAGTTAGACACACGGAAAGGATTTCATGGTATAGATATATATGAACACCAATAAATTTCCATCAGAACTTCAAAACAAACTCTAAACCACGATAATTTAATAATTCTAAATTTCTGAGGAGTAAAATAAGTAAAATAATCTTCTCTTAAAAATAATCCAAAAAAACCTGTACAAATTCTACATTTTACATTAATAAATTTCCACCAGAACCTCAAGAACAAAATATTTTCATAATTCCAAGTTCCTAAGCTCTTCTCTTAAAAATAATCTCAAAAATCTGTACAAACTCTACATTTTACATTAATAAATTTCCACCAGAACCTTAAGAACAAAATATTTTCATAATTCCAAGTTTCTAAGCTCTTCTCTCAAAAATCTGTATAAATTCTACATTTTACATTAATAAATTTCCACCAGAACCTCAAGAACAAAATATTTTCATAATTCCAAGTTCCTAAGTTCTCCTCTCAAAAATCTGTACAAATTCTATATTTTACAATTATTATTTTACATTAATAAATTTCCACCAGAACCTTAAAAACAGAATATTTTTATAATTCCAAGTTCCTAAGCTCTCCTCTCAAAAATAATTCCCAAAAATCTACATGAGAGGCAAATTCTATATTCTGCATCAGTAAATTTCCACCGGTACCTCAAGAACAGAGTATTTTCATAAATCCAAGTTCCTAAGAAGTAAAACTCTTCTCTTGTGAGAAGTAAATTCTATTCTCTAGATCATATCCGGCAATCCAATCATTTAATTGGAGTCGATGAATAATAGTATGACGAATAAAAGAAAATAGAGGGATAAAAGTGCAGTGACTTACCAGGCGTGAGAGACATAGCTTGCTGCCTCCTCGATCTCGAGTTGTCACGTTTCCCAGCGGAAGACTGCGAGCCGGAAACTTGCAGCCCCGGAGCGCTAACCGCACGTTTTGGTCCACCGATAGCGCCAGCGACGTTGCTGTTCCTGGCGAATCCTGGCGGACGATACCTGGCCGATTTCACGCCAGAGTGCTGCGGTAGGAAATGATAAACGCTGTGCGCCTTGTGCATCGTCGACGAAGGTGTCGTCGACGAAGGTGTCGTCAATCCAGCTGGTGCAGTGGAAGCTGGCAAACGCGGCAGAGAATTGGTCGCTGCCGTGATGGCCGACTGCATTCCCCGTGGAAGAGTCGTCGCTCGAGATTCACCGGTGTATTCCAATTCGTCCTCGGTGTCTTCGTCACCTGTGGACGTGTCTGTCGATGTATTGTTTCGAATTTTAACAGCGATCGTGATTTTTGTACCGGGGAATGTTTGACGACTATTTATTAGAGAAAAGAAGATACGTAACATCTAAATTCGATAGAATATAATATAATATAATAAATTGTAAATAATTATAAATATATGAATTATATATAAAAATATAATATAATGTAATATGAATTGTAAAATTATAAATAAATATATAATATATATTATAATTTATAATATAATATAAATATTATAAATATTGTCTATAATATAATATAAAAATAAATATAAATATATAAATTATACGTAAAAATATAATAAATATAGATCTATAATAAATTATTATATAATAACAATAATATAATATAATATCTAAATAAATTATATATAAATTATATATAAAAATATAATAAATATAGATTAATAATAAATTATTATATAATAATAATAATATAATAAATATAATATCTAAATTCGATTTCTGATGAAATAAATTATCAATCGTGCAAAATGATACATTATTTTTTTTCTTTCTTTTTTTTTTTGAGTAACAGACGTTGCATTCAAATATAGACTTGTACAATTAAAATTCGTAGAGAACTTTTTGATTCTCTCCATATGATTTGAAATTTACGTAATTCCAGGTTCAAATAAATTCACAAAATTTCCACTTTTCGCTATTTATGATTTCAAGTTTCGACTGGAGTGAAGGTTCAAATTTATATAAGAAGTTCATTTTGAATTTAATATAGTTGAAGTTGAGATTCGAATAAATTAATCGCGTACTAAATGATTGAGATTTTATTTCCATAAACGAAGTTCTATAGCATAGTGAAAAATTCAACGACAATTTCAAGTTTAAAGTTACATTCATCGATTGTTGTAATACTATGTTTCACCGTTAGTAGCAAGTGGTCTACTGATAGCAATTATTGATTTCCACATTTTCCAAGATTAGACGGGATGAAAAATTCATGGTCTTTACACGTCTACTCTATTCCCCCTTTCTATCACACCATTCGGTGTTGGAATGCATACTACAATAGAAGATTCTCTAATTGAAAAGGTCCCTTGGAAAAGGTCTACTTGGCCGTAGAAGGAACATCAAGCTTATACGAATAATAAATTATACATGGATGAAATGATACACGACAAGCAAAATTTTCTATCTTGTTATAAAGAGCAATTTCAAAATCTAAATTTAAGTCGAAATTATAATAATTACATGTTATAAAATATATATTACAAAGAGCAATTTAAAAATCTAATCTCTTAACTCGAAATTACAATAGTTACATGTTAGAAAATATATGTTGTAAAGAGCAATTTCAAGATCCAATTTCAAATCGAAATTACAACAGTTAGATTAGAAAATATATGTTATAGAGAACAATTTAAAAATCTAATTTCAAATTGAAATTACAATAGTTACATGTTATAAAGAGCAATTTTAAAATCTAATCTCAAGTCGGAATTACAATAGTTACATGTTAGAAAATATATGTTGCAAAGAGCAAAATTTAAAATTTAATTTCAAGTCGAAATCAAAATAGTTATCTCGTCGATAAAGACGTTTAAAAAAAAAAATGAATAACTTAATAATTAATTACGCAGACAACATTGTAGAAATATTACTTTTTAACTCACAAATTAAAAAAAACCGATATAAACATGTATCATATTTTCATCGTGTAATCTTCGTACAATAATATACAATATTGACTGATGTTGCTTTTTAATAAAATCATATAACAAATTTACAAAACGTATAATGATATAAAATAAAATAATAAACTTATAAACGTATAATGATATAAAATAATATAATAAACTTACCAGACTCCCCCCTGGTGTTGGCATCAGGCACAGAGGACCTCCTCCTGTTGCTCCAGATCCTTTCCTCGACCGATCCACCGCTGGCAGCACCTCCGCTCCCGCCGCCGATGGATCCGCAGCTTCTAACTCTGTCCAACTGTTCCCTCGAGAAGCTTTTCGGATTGAACAACAGATCCCCGGCACTGCGACGCTTGGCAGCCATTGCCAACGCGTTAGCACTAGCACTAGCACCGACACTGTCCCCGGAGCAAGCCAACAGGCTCAGCTTCGTCCTAGAATCCGCGGCCATTAACGCCGATTCGAAACTTCCCCGCCAGGAAAACCTCTCGTAGTCACTAGCCTCGCGTTCTTCGCCCTCCTGGCCGGTCGACGCCACCGGATGGCTGTTGATCAGCAACAGAGGATCGTGAGACTTCGATCTAGGTAACTGCAAGTGCGTCGAGGAAGGAGCGTTCGTCGAGTCGGACGTCGAGTCATCGTCTTCCGTGGTGGACGCCGATGACGGCGTTCGATGATGTTGGGTGTAACGTCTCCAGCTGGTAGAGTGATGTTGAACGGCCGGTCCGCCCTCCGAGACCTCGTGCATCAGAGCAACCAGCCTGCTACCGATGTGGTGCATCACCTTGGCGATCAACGGCGGGCTACTGTGCGGCGTCGAGTTGGCGTCGGAGCTCACACCGTCGCCGGCCATCTTCGTGAAACTTTGAACCAATTTCTGATAGACGAACGCGGTATCACGACCGAGGCATGGAGGCTGCATACCAGCCGGCCCGGCTTTATCTTCCCTCTCCTTGTCCAGCAGATTGTCGCCAGACGTGGTGTCGAATTTACTGATAATCTGCTGGCAGCTCTGGGAGATCTGCTCCTGCAACGCCGATCGACGACCACCGGCCGCGCCCTCCAAATCCGAGCTGGTATAATCGGAGCTGTCGTACGAGTCGGACCACGTGTCCTCGGAGCTCAGATACTCGACGATCTCTCGCACTTGCTCGTCGCGGATCCCCGGCACGGTTTTCATCAGCCTGGTCAGCTCGTTCTCGAAGTACACCAACTGCGGCGGTTTCGTACGATTCTGGGCGCAGAGTCTGGCTTTCGAGGAGTAACCGGGCAGCCTCGGGCTCGGCGCCGGCGACGCGCCGCTCGAATTTGCGCTGTTCGCGTTCTGATTCTGCCCGTTGGAATTCGCGACCATCGTCTTGAAGAACTGTCGCATCTTCGACATCATTAAATTCGTCTCCTCGTCGCTCGACCAATTGTTGAAGCTGTCCTTCCTCGACAGGGAAGCGTTCGGCAAGTGGGGCAGTGTCGCGTGGCCCAAGTGATGATCCACTTTGGACAGATTCCCCTTTTCGACTCCGGGGATCCCTTCCATGGACGATCGACTCGCGTTTCGAGCATTTTCACCGTTCTCGTTGTTGGAGCGATCTTTCCCGATTTCTTGACTAAGCTCGGGCTGACCGTCGTCGGGCAGCTTCTGGTGTTGTAACAGGTCATCGCAGCTGCCCACAAAGCCAGAGTCTCGCGACTGTTGTTTCGATCGTTGACTGTAGCTCAACGATTCTCCCGAGTTCAATTGCACGTTTCTGTTGGAATCAACCAGCGACGCGGGCGTCAACGAAACACTCGCGGTGGTCGATGGAGGGGAAGAGGAGGACAAGAGAGACTCTGGCTGTGGCGTCTTTGCTCTCTCGGAATCTTCCGAATTGATGGCCTCTGCTTCGTTCTCCATCACCACTTCTCCCACCAACACCATTTCTCTGCTCGGCTCGGGAGTTTTGTTTCTGTCGTCTGGCACGCGCGGACTCTGCGTTCCCAGGTTCCTCGGCTTCTTCTTCTTTCGTTTCACCGTGTCGAATTGTCCGTCGGTACCAAAGGCCGCTGTCTGTCCGTCGTCCGCTCCGTCGGTCTCGGTGGATGAACCTTCCGACTGCGTCTCCTGCGCGTCCTGACTCAAGCTCAGGTCCTGCAAGGAATTTTGCGAGCTCAGATTCTGCGAGCTTTGAGTCAGAGCTAGTAAATTGTCCAGAGACGAGCTGTGCGATCTGCCGGTCCCTCTGGCGCGAACCAGCTTCTTCCTTCGCTGCGCCTCGGGACTCGGCCTTCCCTCCGAGTCGCTGCCAACGGACCCGTCCGAGTCGCGTCTGTCTTGGTCGAATCCAAGAAACTCCGACAGAAAGTACTTCTCGAGTCTCGAGGAGTTCAAGAATCCTTCTCCAGAGTTCGATCTCTCCTGGTTGCGAATCTCGCCGTTCCCCGGCGCCTCGTCCTGTCCCAGCGACTCCAAACCTTCGGAATAAATGGACGACGTCTCCGAGAGGCTGTCCACCTCGCGCGAACCCATGCTCGAATTGTTGCCATCGCCACCGAGGCCGAAGAAGAAGTACTTCTCCAGTTCCGAGGCTGACGGTGGCCTCTGCTTCTTGGACGGGCTACCAGCGGCTAAACTGGGCTCTGCCTCGCTCTCCTCGCACGATTCTTCCACGATCGTGTGCAACGTGAAGTCGATCGCCTGCCTGTGGTAACCGCGTAGCTCCTCCTCGCGATCGCCGAGATTATTCGCCTCGTCCTCGGAGCTCTCCTCCGTGGCCGTCGTTGCTCCAGGCTCGTCCTCGTCGTGCGAGACTTCCTCCACCCACGAGTCATCGTCCGCCAGACCTTCCTCGAGGATCACCACCCCGCCGCTTGCGGAATTCTCGTCGCTAGACTGCGAGGAAGCACGTGTTCGCGTTCCCTCGCGCTGCTCGCCCCGCTCCCTCGCCTCCTCGTTATCCTTCTCCAGCCGAGATCCACCGATTTTCGCCGCGTTTTTCACCGACACGTCGTCGCTTTCACTGGCACTACCGACACTCAGCCCGCTGTCCGCTTCCACCTCCGAGTGATTCGCGGTCACACTTGCCAACCGTTTCACCATCAACGGCTTCCTCGGTCCCTGGCCGTTCTTGCGATGCGGCTGCTCGGACACGGCTTCCAGCGCCAGCTGGAAGTATCCAGCCAGACCCTGGCTAGCCGTGTGCACCTCATCCGGCTGCAACAAGGTCGTCGTGTCCGAGGTGATGACGCTCACTGGCTGGTACGAGGCTTCCTGAGTGATCATCACGAGGCTCCTGTATTTGTTGCTGTTGCTCTGTATCGTCGACGGAGGCAGTTGTTGTTGACCGATGGAATCCTTCGTCGACGCGGCAGGCGGGAATCCATTCTCCTTTCGAGTGGACGGGCGTCGCTCGACTGAGCGAAACCGTGTCGATTCCCCTTCTATCCCCTCTTCGGCGCACTCTACGCAAGTGCCACCACCACCATCACCTTCACCGCTGCTACTACTACCTTCGCTACCTCCTACCACCTGGCTGCAAGCAGGATTCTCGCCTCTCACCGAACCACCGCCGCTGTCATGCGCACTATCCGCTTTACCTGCTGCGCTCTCCGCGCTGTTCTTCAACGTCTCGTGGATCCCGCTGCTGCCCACGTCGCCGGTGCTCGCCGATTTCAACTCGGCCCCGACAGCCGCGCGATCCGGGTCGTTGTCTTCCGACGCGCCATCTTTGGACACGATGGTCGGTGTCGTCGATTCCCCAGCCTCGCACGCAACCGATTCATCATTCACCGTGGCGATCATCGTTGAATCACTCTCCTCCGTGACAAAGGTTACGACACATTCGTCGTTCGTGCTGTCCGAACGTTGCTCAACCATTCGCGTACTCTCGCACTGCGCGTTCCAATTCGTCCCGTTCGACGCGACCGATTCCTCGCGACGATCGTCCTTGACGATTTTCACGGCGCCTTGACGATTCTCCCGCCGCCACGGTGCTTCTCCCTCCTCGTTCCTTCTGTTCAGTCGCGACAGCAGCTCGTTGTTCGTCGCCGAGAACGAGAACACGCTGGCCGGCGTGACTTCGTACTCGTGCAGCTCGTCGCTGCTCACCTCGCTGGCTGTCGCGTTCGTCTCGTTGCTCGTGAAACTGTCCGAACCGGAGGAAACGCTCGCACCGCCGTTCACGTTGGAATTCAAATCGGGCAGCGCGTCACGCGCGTGGTTATCGTCGTCGGGATCCACGCTCTCCTCGGTTGTTATCTGCGATAAAGTGCTATCGATTACGGCTTCGTGATAATCGCTGCTACCTGCTTCACCGCGATCGGTACTGCCGTTCTCGTACACGCCTGACGAATTTATCAACGGCGTCGAGACGTGAAATTTCTTCGCGCACGAACCACCGTCGTCCGACATTTCCAAGGAGTCTGGAATTATGTTCAAGTCCCAAGCGTCGGTCGTGGAGAGCTGCGTTTGGTTGTCTGAATCTACGTTGTCATTGTCAGACGTTACTCGAGCTGATAACTCGTCGATTACCGAACCATCGTTGTTCTCTAATTTGTCAAACAGTTTCTCCTCCAAGATTGTCCCCTCTTTCGTCGCCATAGTTTCCGCGCCGCTGTTGAAAATCACCGGCTCGATGCTGTCAGGATCCAAGGTCTTTATAGATTTCAACTCGATTTGATTCTCCGAGCAGTCGTTGTCGCTGGCGATGTACATCTCCTCGGGCATCTCGCGCTGCAACGACGACAGGGATATCCGTTTGTCGTTCGTTTCCAAATTGTGCTTCTTTCCTCGTGATCTTCTCTTCTCGTTCGTCCCCTCCTCTCTCTCAGACCTGTCGTTAACCTCCGTGCCATCGTCCTTGCAACTCGATCTCTTCTCCAAGTCCTCCCTCTTGTTGTTGTTTCTCGTTCGATCTCCGCTCGCGTCCTCGTAACTGGAGTCCTCGCCGAAGAATCTAACGTACTGCAAAACTACAGGTTCCTCGTCAGGCAGTGCGGTGACTCTCTTCAATGTGACGCCGTTCACGGTGGCAGAGTCCTCGTCGTCCTCGTCCTCGTCCCCGTTGTCCTCGATGTCGTTGTCGCTCGTGAGAGAGTCGTCGTTAACGACGAACACCCTCGAGAACCTGTGAGACGAGGAATCCTCCTCGAGGTCACTGCTGTCCGCGGACGAACGGCCCGATGAGCTGCCAGAATCATCGTGCTGGAACATCCTCTGCTGATCCCTTCTGTTCTCGAACGACACGCTCACCGAATCTTGGCAATTCTCCTCGCTGTCCTTCGTCTCGTTCGTCTCGTCATCGCTCTCCTCCTGGCTTCGCTCCACCTTCGACTCGTCCAATTTACCATGCCCGGCCGCGGATGACTCATCTGTCGCCTTCGACTCGTTGGAAACGTCCGACGAAACAGCATCCTGCAAGGACTTGGTCGCGCCGCTTACTCCAGCGTCGTCCTTCTCGTCCTGGTTCACGCGCAGATTGTTCGCACGCTGCCTAAGTTCCTCCGTCGTTGGAATGGTTGGAATAGAAGGTTCGATAGTGGCAGCGTACAATGGCTGAGCGAGGACTTGATCGGGTCTGAAGGAGCAGGTGGTTGGATCGAAGACACCGGTGAGCCGTGGATCGAGCCTGGCTCCGTGCAGAGGCTGATTGAATCGCGGATGCCAAGCGAACCAGGGTGCAGCTGGGTCGCCTCTCAACCTCAGTGCTCCCGGTTCCGCGTGAGCGTCGCTGCTGCGGCTTATCATGGAGGAGGCGGCCGCTGCGAGGTCGCTGGTCCACAGGGACGCTGGAACTGGTACCGGATATGGCACCGGCACGGGGATTGGAACCGGGACTGGCAGCACGTTCGCACCTCGGGAGCCTCCGCAGGCCTGCACAGACCAGTGTTGGATAAATAGAACGCGGAAAGATTCTGCGTTGCGAGAGAAGAATCGGGCTCGGCGACATTTTGGTTTAATTTAGTCGATTTAATTTTGGTTTAATTTGGCCAATTTAATTTCGTTTCCAATTGCATTCTGATGTTATTAACTTTCTGAAAACGTATTTTGTATAACAATCAGAAGATCATCATTTGTGAAGAAGTTCGGATTATTATTATAACATTTCGAAGACGAGACAAATTTCTTTGTTTGTGTTTAAAAAAATATATGAAGATGTATAAAAATTTGCAATCTAGTAATTATTATCATTCCAAAATGAAAAGTTTTAATTTTCAAGATTAAATTTTTTTGTTGTCAGCTAAAACGTTCCTATTTTCTAGAAGTTTAATTGTTATATTCTGCAATGGCAAGTATTTACCATTTCGAATAATTGGACGAAGTTTGTGTAAATAGGCGCTGCTTACTTTTGCAGACAATTGTCGCATAGCGATAAGAGACAGATAACAATAGAGAAGAAATCGCAATATGCTACTTTAACTTTATTTTAAAATACGCGAAAAGAAAATTATATGATTAACTATACTTTCGAAAAAATAAAAGGCAATCATACACTAGAAACGATATAAAAAAATTGTAAAAATTCAATAAAATTAGTATTATAAACTATAAAACCATTAATTGTAAACTATGAAACTGTCAACTATAAACTATTATAATTACAAATTGTAAAATTAAACAAAGAATTATTATTTTTAATTCTATTTTTAAACTTGAGGTTTAAAAATAGAATTCATCTTACTAGCGAAAATTGCGTTTCAAATATGAAAGATATTAACGTTAAAATTAAGACATTAAAAATAATTCATTTATAAAATCAAGTCATTCATTTCTTAACTTAATTTTTTATTCATCTAAAGATCCATAAAAATTCTACAACCATTCACATAACGTACAAAAATTCTACAACTATAGATTATAATATAATAATTTATTTATGCAGTCATTCATTTCCTAATTTAATCTCATTTTTCCAACCATTCATGGAAATTCTACAACCGTTCACAAAAATCTTATCACCTACAAAAATTCTACAATCATAAATTATAATAATTTATTTATGAAATCAAGTCATTCATTTCCTAATTTAATTTCTCATTTATCCAACCATCCATAAAAATTCTACAACCATTCACAAAACGTACAAAAATTCTACAACCATAGATTATAATATAATAATTTATTTATGCAATCAAGTCATTCACTTCCCAATTCAATTTCTTATTTACCCAACCGTCCATAAAAATTCTACAATTCATAAAAATCCTGTCA